AAAAAAAAAATAAAAAATAACTTTGTGTATTTATTAAATATTTTCGTTGTTGGCAGGATATCAGATGCAAAAAACCGTAATGAGTTTTGGCAAGGGGATGAAAAAATATTCATCCGGTTATTTACAAGGTCTTTTTTTACAAGTCAAACTTTTAGCAATGGAAACATTTTCTCTTCATCAACAATATCAAATGCGCTAAGGACACGTTGAATGTTGACAAACGGCCTGCGAACGAATTTACCCGTTTGTCCCTTCGTTTTTCGTCACCTCCTCGTACAGTCGACCGGAGCGGCAGACAAATGGCTCCGTTTTGTGGTACACATAAAGTGCACCGCTAAGAGACTCAAAACGGTAGAGAATGAAAGACATTTACCGGTTTTCCGCCGATCGGTCTACACGCATACAACCGAAACCGTCACTACTACCACCTGCGCCCCCACCTGTCGTCTTCTCTGTGCACTATACAAACACAATACAATCGAGCTACCGGCGATTTATCCCTGGCGAGCGTTCATATAAACGTACTGCATACAACCATTTATCACTTTGTCACGCGGATGATGTATGGTTCCCACGTGATAATATTCTAGGCGAGCCATTTAAGTTCTAAAGCTGATGGTAGGGGTGACGACGACGACAACAATACGAATGCAAACGCATACCGCGATGGCGAAAACGGGACGGTTTAAATCTTTACCGAAAATAATGCACAGAGATACACAATACTTGCGTATATACATGTACGAGTGGAAAATTAGAAAAATAGTGGCGGCTACGGCCCAGTTAGTGAATGCGATATCCGCGTGCGGAAAAGGGTGCCCCGAGCGACGTATAGGCCGCAGAAGGCGATATTTATTATACTTATTTATTTATTGTAAGTCGCCAAAACGTTTTGTTATTAATGACGGCAATGATTGTCCCGAACACGCGAGAAGAGCGGCTGTGGCGTAGCCTCCGTGCAGAGCTTACACTTACTGTTATTGTTACTATTGTTTACCCTAAAATTGCTATTACACAAGACCGCGGCGAGATAAGGTACGGGAGCTATTGCAATGGTGGTCACAGTGTACTTTACTACCGTTATTGCCGCGTAGGAGTGTAATAAAGCTAACCCTACTAGTGTTATTAATAATAATGATGAAATTGAATCGACCGCGCCGTGTTATAAGGCCAGCGAGCACTTGGCTAGACCGAATTTTGTGACCCAGTGTCGACCGGCGGCACTGCTACACCACCATCGATCGTCACCACCTACTCCTCCACCCCTTAAAGGTTCGGCTCCCGTCGTTTTTGCCAACTCTCACGCACCGACCGTGTGTTCAGCATGGGTTTTGATGTTACGTTTATACATGTACACATAACATAATAATACACTATGACGATATAATTATCGCGTTACGATTGACTACAAAATAAAAATTAACTGTTGTAAAAAGTATTTAGCACATGCACCAAGTACACTCGATTGCGGTAAAAGGCCAACGTATAGTAACCAGGATTTTATTCGATATTTTGTTGTGGATGGCTAAATGATTTCGGCGCCCTCGAATTCCTTTAGAATCGCCCCTTCATTAATATAGAACATCATAATATATGCACTATAATAACATATACTGTACAATAACATATAACATTATACAATATTTGTAGGTTTTTAATATTGACATTCGCCTATAAGAATTTTCGGGGCGTCTCTGAACTCCCAACTAAATACGACTCTGATTGTAACAGCACATAAATAACGTTTGTAAATGAATAACTATTTATTCGTATTTAAATGATTTTCAATCGGAGAAAATCTTATAAATCGAAAATAAAATGTACAGATTGTAACGTAATAGTTATTCCTATGATTATTTTTGCACGTTATAATAACAACTTTCCAGTTTGATTGTAGGCGTTTCAAACTATTTTAAATGCACTCTCTGACAAATGTTTCACTTGTAAATATCGACAGCTATTATTTTAACATATGAATGTGCGATCTGCATAGTACACATTATTTATATTGAAGCGTATGCGACGACGCCAGTCGAACCCCTTTAAAAGTCTCAGCATCGTCGTTAGGATCCAATATATGATTTCCATTGAAGGAATGCGGCGTTCACAACACCTGAATAATGTCATTCATTAAACGCACGGCGATAGGCCGCCGATGAACATAACGCGTATGTATCATTAACTAATGTGTTTCTAACGATTCGACAATGAAATTAGTAATAATAGTACTCGGCAATATAATAGTGAACCTGCCTATTTGTTCGCTCCAATACTCCGCGAGACGAAAATGTGTTCCGTTATTCAATGATAATTTTATGTAAATTTAATTTTAAGTACACAGTTGCGTTTAAAGTAAAAGATTTTTTCCGTCGAGTGGAAAAACAGTTGGTCGCGTCATCGTTAATGATAATTACGTTACAGGGTTGTAAAGTACGTGTTGGGTACACGGAGCTGAGATTTTTCGACAAACGCGGAGAGCGTACGATGAGTTTCTGACAATTGCGGAAATGAACCGAATGTGTTATATATTTTCTCGAGGATTTCGAACACATCGTGGCGTATATTTGTCATTTATCAAATTATCGTCTACCGAGGCAAAATGAGCGAAGGGGAAAACATTATATTTGTACATTGCCGTGAAAGTGCACAGAATTCGAAAGAAAAAGGCACATAATAACTATAATTGCTGGTTTTACCCCAATATTTTTACATTAAAAGCGCAGAAAAGCAATAAATTTGGTTTACACTTAAATGGTTCAATCATTAAGAGTTAATTCGAAAATATAGAATACACCAAGTGGCCAAAGCACAATCAAAATGCTATTAACAGACAAAAATCAATACACCCCGTTCCCCCAATCAGTCGGTTAGAGTGGAACCACAACAGGTGCGCGTTTCACCCAGTTATCTTTTCCCTAGTAACGTAGTTAGATGATTACTATTGTAATAAAATATAAAGTTATACGCCATCCGAAGGTAGCGCATATATAATTTAATAAATGTATTAAAATCAAAGAGTTCATCACGTTAACGGTCGTACAAGTGCAAAACATACACACTATTTAAATAGTATATGTATAATCATCACACCCACGCTGATACGCGCTATCGTATACTTCATACGGCGATAACGTTTTTATACAGCGAGTGTTCTAGAGAAAACGGTTGTTGGATATAATGCGCCGGCAATGATTGTTATCAGTTTTTTACATTGCACCTTCAACCACTGACGGTCGTCTAAAGTCTACGACGGTGTCAGATGTCACAGCATTACTTTATAGTAATAATAATAAAAATATAAAGCTAGCATTCCTCCAGACACACATTTTTTTATTAGGTTATCGTAATCATAAAATCTAAAGAAACATTAAAAATATATATTATTTGCAAGTAAAATACTAAATTTTCAAGTTTATTTTTATTCTACGAGAATATATTACCCCTTTAAAGGAAATCTCAATGAAACAAATTAAATAATAAAATTCTTAAACAAACGTATCCCCCACATATAAAATGCAAAAATAATTTACAAATTGACTGTATGAGAGTATCTATGAATGTAAAATTCATTTTTTTAATTTTATTTGGATAACTATATGGCATTTGTATTGCTTAATATTGTCTATGATATATAATAAAAATAACAGATAAATACAATTTATGCCTAGTGGATATTTACAATGAGGTGAACAACTTACATTTTTCTACTCTCATTTGTTTATGTTCTATTTGTTCGACATAATATTTTTTTGTACTTGTGTGTGCAATTATTATTATTACTTTGCATGACTGGTTGTGGTCCTGATAACGTTAACGGTGGAATGAACACCGCCTATAGTTTCACATAATAAATCGTATAGGATGATTTACAGTAAAAAAGGGAGACCGGAAAAATTAAAATAGCCCTATGTAGTTTTTACTGTTTAGTAATCTGTCATATATTGAAAGTATTTCAATCAATACTAATGTGTTAATGAATATTTTTTAAGGATTTTTTTTTAAGTAATAGCAATTTTTGTGAGCTTTTTTTATTGATTGATAATATTTTAATGAGACGCTTTTAATACATTAAAGTCTCAAATGCTGGCATAATTGTTACTGATTTTCTTTTCATATTTGATGATCGCAGTCAAAAAAAGAATTAATTAATTGACTAATATGAATGCGGATAGACTTACCGATAAAACGGGATTTTCCCGGTGAGCTCCTTGAACGTATTACAATATGTTTTATATTTTTCATTATCTTATAAATCATAAAAGATCAAAAATGTGTGTTAAACATATTTAAACATTTTTTTTTTTGTTAAAATAAACCTAGACAATCATTATTTTTGCATTTGAGACCCCATCTAATATTTCTTAGTGGGTAAAAATCACCTATCCCACTTGTTATAAAACATAGTAGAAACGATTTCTAAGATAAAGTAGTAACTTTACTTAAAATATAGAGATCATCGAACAATATAAAAAAATAAATGAGATAAAAGTGCTTAAATATTTTAATAATTAATTATATACATAGTTATATAAAAATAAACCATTGAGTTAAAATAGTTTTGTCGCTTTTACTTATTATCAACTAAAGTAATCGTTCACTAGAAAGCAAAAAATAAATAAAGTGATCATACTAAGTAATAGCCAAATTTAAGTGTTCCTAATTACAAAAAATTTGTTCTACAAAATGCAAGATAATCATTAAGTCGGTGATTATAGGTGTAGGTAGAGGTACGACACACGTGATATTGCTACTGTAGCAACACTGCCAGTCGGTCATACAGTTGGGCGCCAAAAAATGAACTTGATAAGAAACAACGTTTTCTGGACTATGTTATTTTAACGGATTTGAAAGGGAAATTCTAAACTCATCATCAAATTTAACCAACAAAATTTTGTGTTATACAGTATCCGACACATGAAAGTGATCAATTGTTCACTTATCAAATTTTTTACATTAACATTTTTCGAAAATAGTTTAAAATTAAGACTTTTTTTCTTTACCTGTTGCCAATGATCCTCTAATGATACGTGAGCAGAAAAGTAGCCAGTATCGTGTATGTCCTGCAACTCTCTGAATATGTTCCCACTCGGTAATACGTCCATGTTGGCAGAGATTGAAGGGATTCCTTAAAAGTTTTGCTAATTTATACAATTATTTTTGTCGTCACGTATGACGTAACGGCGGCAGTGTGTCGTCTACCGAATGTGTATACCAATTATTATCATGAATTTTATCAAATCATATGCGTGTGAGTCATTTTTGTCGATAGCAAAAATATAACCAAAAGCGAAAAACGACACCAAAATGCGATGGGATGTAAACAATCGTCAACGGTATTCACTACTCGACAGGCGATAAAAAATAAATATATTACACTATAAATTATCAGTTTAAAATACACACGGGTATTGAACGTGTAACAACAATTATGGTAATATTATTATTAAATATTTCTAAAACAATTTTGAAATAAAATACGCGAGCACGGCGTGAGCGATGGGCAAGCAGTGGCCCGTGTTCTGGCTCGCGACTGAACACTAGTCTGCTGGTAATTTCGCCGGTGCCGGCTCGGCCAGTGTACCCGTTCGCGCGCGCACACACCAATACACACACACACACACACACTACAAAAACCACCGTATAGAATTGCTTTGTTGACTCTAGCGCCATCTACTGACGGCAGACCCGGTTCAGATGTAAACACGCTCAAGAACGCCGGCAACTTTAGTAACACCGATACTTAATACTAATGAGTTAATAGTACTATAAATTTAACCGTATGGTAGGCTGGCCGAAATAATATCAGAGTAATAATGTTAACGAAATTACCCTGACCGGTTATATAATTACTATGCTTTTGAACTGTCTCATTGTAGTATCATCATGATATTATCATATTTACGAACAAATCACACAGTATGTCGAGACAATTGTTTCATTCTATGTAATATGTAATAATTGCGGCGACCATCAAAGTACCTCGTGTGGGGTAGTATACTTCACATACCCCTTGCTCTAACACTTATATTTTGTATTTTTGTAAATTTTTTTATAATAATATAACAACAAATTCGTATTGATGATTATAACACTTTGAATTAAAATCATATACTTTTATAAAATACAATATTAATTTTACTAATTTAATATCATAAATTAATAGAGATAAATATTTTGTCCAGACGAAAATAACTTTATCAAATATTGAATAAAACTATAAAAATGATGAATGTATGCAAAAACAATATTTTAATAACACATTTTAATCTCAATGATAAACGAATTTAACATAACATAAATAATCAAAATATGTGTCAAATGAACAATGAAAGAGCTCTGTGGTTACTTATATTTATTACTTGATTTGATTTCGTGAAGCAAATATTCTAATCAAGATAAAGAAGAAGAATTGTTTATTTAAACTCGGAAATGTTACCACATATAACATCCCCGAGTTTAAGTAACTATTATTGGCTTTAGGAGACATCATAATACTACTTTAGCTAAAATTATCTAAAAAAAAAAATTAAAAAATATTAACTAAATTTTTATTCCTCAAAAATTTACTATAGATCCTTTTCAACAAATTAAAAAGCCAAACTGCTACAATATTCAAAATAAATCAATCCACAGTCACGTTAATATATCGCCCTTTAAAGCACAACACTTGACATCTCATTTTTCTAATTTTTCAGAGAAGTAATCGGTTTAATTAAAAAATTAAAATTAATTTAATTGTTAGTTCAAAAGTGTAGCTAACTCATTTCGATCAAAGAATGAGTTGGGTTTTTATGTATGAGTGAGTTGTTATGCCTTAAACGATAATATGTCTAAGCTGTTAATTATTGTTAAATTTTTTAATTTAGTTTGGAGAAATTAAATTTGGATAATTTCTAAGTTTGTTTAAATAAATTAAAAATCACGAGGTTGTATGATACTACAAAAATATTTTAAAAATAACTGTTATCACTTTTTTGTTGGTACAATTATTATAATACAACTGAACAATACAGTAATTTATATTGTACGACTTGGCAAATATAATGTTACCAAAAAAGTGCATACAAGCAATAGCGCTAAAATCAATAATAATTGATAGAGCAAACATTTTTAAAAATTGTAATATCGTTACCCATTTTTCAAAAATTACATGACTTTCTATTTGCTCTTAATTTCTAAAATTCATTCTTCAAAAAAATGAATAGTGGCCTATTCCTTACCTAACCAGGTTGTTCATTGTTGGGTAACTTTTTTGTTGGGATATCAATATCTTGGCAGGTTCGTTTATTGTACATATCAAATATTTGATAACTTTTATGACCAATTCTACTAAATAAAAATTATTATTTAGCTTATTATGTTTTATCAACATTACACATTTAAACCTAACACGACTTAAATAGATTATTAAGTCTTAAAATTTATAAAGTCTTAAGTATAAATTCATTAATATTTTTATTATTTTTAATGATCGATTTATATGGCGTACATTACCAACCATTGACCCCTTTTGGAGTTTGTGCGAGTGCCCTAATTATTATTAGTGATCGGTGATACTGCATCAGAAACAACATAGAATGTTTTTTTTTGCTCTTGACTAGTCGAAATTATTTGAATCGTGCCGTTATTAATTGATATTCAATAGATGAAATGTCAACTTCCTTAGAATTTAAAGAAGGATTATTATACATTTTTGCATAACATTTTAAATATTAATTTAAAAAATGGGTGTACAAAGCTAAATCCATAACAAGTTACTTAATTCTTCCATAAAATATGGACAGTTTAAGAAAGGCATTGGTTGGTAGAAGTTTTCCTACCCTCAACTTAAATTCCTGCGCAAGCCAATATATAATACAGATCTGTTTATGAATAAAACAATAACCTTATCTATTAAGTGTTATTTTATTAAATAAGACTTTATCTTTAAAAGTTTTTTATTTTATATTATTTCTACAAAACGCGACGTGTAATGTTCGTTGTAGTCATAAATTACTCTGGTGTTTAAGAAATAATGGTAATCATATAAATTTGCAAAGCAAAAAAAAAAAAGTTTTATCACCACTTTATCAAATCTAAAGTGGCATGATTTCAAAAAAGTGTTTCTGAATTATACATATTTGACATGTCATTAACTTTCCTTTGGCACAGAAAAATCATAGAGACAAAGATCAATAAACTATACATGCGATTACATTGTTTAAGTTTCGTGTAGCCTATAAAAATAGAACACTAATGAGAGTGAAAGTATTTAAAATATGTGCTGATGACACTACTTCGTTAAATTTTTGTGATAAGATTTTCGATCAAAACATTACTATAGTTTTTTTACAATAGGAATAATTATACGTATTACATAACTTTTTTTTGAGGTGGTTAAAACTTAAAATTATTATGTTAGAATTAGTTATTTCTGCAATTAGGTTCTTGCATAATACAATTAAAATTCTATCATCTAATTTAAAATAAAGTTGTTACAAAAATCCGAGTATTAAAATAACTAATTAACAATTCTTCAAGTAAATATTTGTATTATTATTATTATTAAGGGTATATACTAGCAAATGCTTATAGAACCAACATGCTGATAGTATTATCTCCAATGACTAATAGCTATTTAGAGCAGAGAGTTCACATTAATGGGTTTACTAAGTATTTAAAATGCGTTATCTGCAGCAATTTCAAAAGTAAAAAAATGAATCACCAAATGAGATGAATAAAACGACATAGAAAAAGTTTTATTGACGACGCAATCTCTTTTTAGATAGTTTCGGGGTATGACTCAAGTAATACTTTCTTCTAATTAAAAAGACACAACAATATGAAATGTTATCAGAAAAGCGGCCCAACTGTCGGGTATATTTTACTGCCAAATATATTATAATTCTAGATTACCACCAAAACGCAAAATATTACTTCTTGATTAGAAATATTATGTAGGTTATTAACGAGCAATCTGTGTCTTTGGATAAAATTACGGGCAAACAAATGACACACATAAAGATTATAAGGATTATTATTACTTTATATTTTGATCGTCTCAGGTGATACATATAACTATACCCCAATTGTAGTAATTTAAAATCCGCAAAGATGAATACATCATATATTATATATGTGTTCTACTATAGATTTAATAAAGTGTAAATTAATAATTTGAATATAAAATAGTACCATTTTACACAAAACGCTTATTATTTGGAATAATAAAACGTATATTTACTTATACATTATTTCAATAAGTAATTTATTTTAATTATTAAATAAACGAGATTAAATAGATAATTAAACATTTTATCTATAAATAAACTACATTTTACTTTTTTTAATAATTAAGAAAAATGTTTAACAAAGTACTCTTAATGAATCTTAATACTCTTACTACTCTTGATGAATAATAATAATCAGTTTTACATCCTACTATTTTTTGAACATGTTACAGAAGTGGTGGCTCAATTATCACAGAGACCAGACAACATCTATGAAAAAATCACAAGAAAAATCTTGTTGGCGCCCTGGGAATCGAACCCGGGACCCCGTGAACCGAAACATACAATTCTACCCACCCACTTGGCCAGGCCGACCCCTCATATTCTTGATCAACAATTTTATAAAATAACCATTGTTTAAAGCTGAAAAATATTAACAAAGATAAAATATTCTCAAAGTTATTTGGTTAACGAGTTAAATAAGGTTAATGTTAATTAAAAAACTATAAAATATTTAACATTTTTAACAAAAGCCCATTAGATCATTTTTTATTTGATTGTAGATATTTATATAAAATTAATAAGATTCAGAGCCTATTAAACACTTTGTAAAAATGTATGGAATTCAAGAATATCAATTTACAATTTATATTTAGTAGATTTAAATTGTTGTAATCAAATACACTCTAGTGGTCATAAACACAAGAAGTATTCAGAAAAAGTCCTAACAATAACAATATGAATTGAAAAAATTTCAATGATTGACAAATAAAAATAATTCAACTTTACAATTTTAAATTGGCAAATAAAAATTGTTTTTTTTATAATTAATAAATATTACAAGTATTTTTTCAAACTTAATTCCTATTAATATTTTCTATAATAAATTCTCTGTTATTTTTAGTAAATAAAATATGTTAATTGAATAATTAATCCAGAGGCACTCTTAAAGGAGGTGTTGGAGGTGAATCAACATTCAAACCAAAGTACCAACTTATCGAATTCATTATAAAATGAAAAAAAAAAAAATTCAATAAAATATTGTGCCAACTCCAAAGAGAATTTTAATTTGTTACATAAACACAAACACAACTAATTAATTATTTAATTTATATAATAATTGGCTAATTTTATTTTTCTTTACTTTCTTTAAATTTCTTGTAGATAAATTATGGTGTATACCAAATTTGTAATATTATTTTATTTTAAATCCAATGATTTATTTTCTTTTAATTTTAAAATTAAGAAAAACAAATTGCTTTTTATTTTTTTTTAATAAAATACTTTTACTTAAAACAAATCTGTATTTGATATTTTAACTTATACTAATTAATTCAAGATATTTCTGATTAAAAATTTATCAATTTA